TGATTCAAGTTGACTATGATAGACATTACAGGGTATTGGTATCAAGCATTCTGTCGTCGCCACGATTAGTCACCCCGTAAGACAAACTACTTTGCAGTGTACATGACAAATCATAAGATACCACTGGCTATGATGGATGTTGTAACGAGCTGCACAGCGCGACAGAAGCCACTTTATTGAATTACCTCCAGTAGCCCGAGTTAATGGTTAATGGTTGAAACAACTAAACATGCTAGACATCAAAGGTCAAAGCACTATTGGTAAAGGGTATTGAGGCGAAAAGGATAAAAAATGTTAGATATCAAAGGATATAGTGTTACAGAATAGTACGCTAAGGAAAAGGGTAAAGAGGGGGTGCAAATCAAGTAAATCGGGGATTAGTAAAGGAAAGGGTTAAGGGCATAGGATCATTGGATGAAATGGAGCGTATCTGTCGATGGGGAAGTAATAGGAAGTGTTTAAGGAAAACTGTCAAAAGAGCTGTTTTGAAAAAATGAAACAATCAACGGGTAATATGGGTAGACATGGTTGTTGATGTAGAAGAATCCGGTGAATGAGATAAGGGGACTGGGGAAGGCGGTGAAGTATTAGGAAGAATGTAAGGAGGGGAGGGGTCCGGAGAAGGACACTTGCAACAGAAGGGATTCGCGTGAGCATCCATGTAGGAGCGGTAAGGATAATGAGAAATGAAGAGGGAATGGTGCACGTGGAGGATAGGATAGGATGAGGTGTGTTGGGAGAGGGTGGGAGGAAGGGGGCTAGGGGAGAGGACACTCCACCAATATAAACTTCAAGGGGGGAGTCATGTCTACGGAAGCTAATTGGTAATGTTGCTGTAGGGCTTATGCTAGCATATGTGAGGAATAGTGTAGCCACTGTACTGCCACTGCATCATAATCAGCAGGGCGGGCAAGTAAGTCGTTTTCAGTCTATCCAGTTCTTGCCGTAAATATGACAATCAGTCGGGGAGACAAACAGTTCCGGTACAAGTAATAAAAGAGAAGTGAGATTCGGCAGGAATTGGTTTGCCAGTGAGGTCACAGTAGATTGTGCATGAGCTTGTAATTCAGATGTAACTGACAAGGCGTGAACGATTGGGACGATAGCAAAAAGAAACTTTACCTACTTCTTTATAGAGACATTATTGGGAGTGAAGTTTTTTTTTTAGAGTAAGGAGTTGTGGGTGCAATCACTAAGAATCGATCCCACTTGGCTGGGCCAAAGAGAGTACCCAAAAGGTTTGTAGAGATGGAAGTTGTAGAAGGACAATGGCGGGAGGAAGATGGGTAGTGTGGAGTGAAGTAGTTGTGTGTGTGTGGGGGGGGGGGGGGGGTTAATAAGGATGGAGAGTAGTAATAAGGGAGAGGGGTAGACAATGACGAAGATTGGGGAGTAGAAGATAGTGTGGAGAATACCGTGAGAGAGTAAGAGGTGTATTCCCAAGGTTGAGTAATGACCTGGGTGGGGCGGAATGGATATTGTCAATAAACATCGAGTATCAGTATCCGTGGTCGGAGCCGGGGTCAAAGGAGAGGCGGGTGTCGAGAAATCATCGAAATCAAATTGAGATGGGCTAGTTGATGAAGGGCCAAGCCTTAATGCTCCTAATAAGAGTAAAAATGTTTAATCCAGGCCGGGCGTTCGAGTCGTTGCAAATCTCTCAGGCCGGGCGTTCGAATCGTTGCAAAATCTCAGGCCGGGCGTTCGAATCGTTGCAAATCTCACAGGCCGGGCGTTCGAATCGTTGCAAATCTCACAGGCCGGGCGTTCGAATCGTTGCAAATCTACAGGCCGGGCGTTCGAATCGTTGCAAATCTCACAGGCCGGGCGTTCGAATCGTTGCAAATCTCACAGGCCGGGCGTTCGAATCGTTGCAAATCTCACAGGCCGGGCGTTCGAATCGTTGCAAATCTCACAGGCCGGGCGTTCGAATCGTTGCAAATCTCACAGGCCGGGCGTTCGAATCGTTGCAAATCTCAGGCCGTTCGAATCGTTGCAAATCTCACAGGCCGGGCGTTCGAATCGTTGCAAATCTCACAGGCCGGCGTTCGAATCGTTGCAAATCTCACAGGCCGGGTGTTCGAATCGCTGCAAATCTCACAGGCCGGGCGTTCGAATCGTTGCAAATCTCTCAGGCCGGGCGTTCGAATCGTTGCAGATCTCACAGGCCGGGTGTTCGAATCGTTGCAAATCTCATAGGACCGGCCTGAACTAGAGCAGATGATAATTTGTTCTTCGGTCCATTGTACGGTCGCACTTTTTGGCAAGGTCTCCATAAGTACTTATATAGACCTTGCTTTTTGAGACCGATGACCCAACTCACTGGACACAAGGTCTAAGCAAGGATAATAATAACAATAATAATATTATCATCAATATTATCATCATTATTAATATGGTTATAATAATAATACATCAACTACTATTATTAATACTACTAAAATAATGATATTAATAATAATAATAATAAAAGGACGAATAACAATAACAATAATAACAACAATAGCAAAAACAATAAAAATAATAATATTAATAATATTAATAACATTAATAATATAGCATTAATAATATTTATATTATTAACAATATTCATATTAATTAATAATAATAATAATATAGTATTAATAATATTAATCATATTAAAAAATATATATATAATAATAATAATAATAATAATAGTAACAACAATAACAATAACATAATAATAATAATAATAATAATGATAATAATAACAATAATGGTTTTAATAATAATAATAATAAAAAAAAATAATAATAATAATGATAATAATAATGATAATAATAATGATAATGATAATGATAATAATAATAATAATAATAATAATAATAATAATAATAATAATAATAATAATAATAATAATAATAATAATAATAATAATAATAATAATAATAGTAGTAGTAGTAGCAGTAGTAGTACTGGGATACTAAACAGTAACGATATTACAAAAACACATATTTCTGACAAAAGTATAACTATGAGGACTTTTGGAAAATTCATGAAAGGCAAATTCTAAAGTTCATTTTATTTAAGAAAAACAATATCCTGATCTGCATACAGGTTTAACCATCCCCTGCTATGGTACATCATACATCATTTCAATCCTATAAAGCAGGTCAATATTCAGCATATTAACACCTTAAAATACAACTCATACATATGCAATATTTCAATAATTATGGCCATTCCATATGCAGTACCATATACGCCGGGAGAGACGTGCAAACCCCCAGACCACAGCTGCAGCAGATGCACAAATATAATCTGCATAAAATCAACATCTCTGTAATTACAATTTTCCTTTTTAATTCTATCCAAGAATGTTCTATCTATTAACTCATTGGGGCTGGTACCCTCCACTGTAGTTTAGTTTTGTGAATTTTGTTTGCACACAAACAACAACTCAGCCCTCTGTGATCTCACTTGATCTTCCCATTCCATTATTTTTTTTATAAAAAATCTAATGCTATTAATGTTGATACTCATATTTAAATCATATCAATTATAATGCATTTAAAATATCAAATTTATATTTAAATATTATGCAGTAAAAAAAGAAAAAAAAAAAAGAATCTTTCTAACACAGAAAAGAACAAAACAGGAGAGATAGGTAGAACTAGTATTGCAATTACTGGATTGCAGAGCCAACAAAATTAATGAACTAAAATCTCAGTGGACATGACATGTTGGCCATGCACACATCAAGTATCAATGGGTTAATATTACTCAGCTACAATGCAGAGATCAAGGCTCTTCTTTCTTTTATCCAATTAAGTTTATCACAGCCAGCATTACTTACATCTAAATTATCTTAAACTTAATTTCTCACAGCCATCATTACACCAGGTCTACTTGTAGTATTACTGTACAACCTACATCTTTACAAACTCATTCTTAAACTGACATCCTTATCAGCTTGATCTACTTGATATCAAACTTATGTATTTTTTATACATACATAATTTCAGAACAGAAAAAGGAGACACTTCAAACAAAAAGTATATTGTTTCAAGTGTAGACCACATAAGGCACCTCTGTAACAAATGAGTACAAAACGATCTACAGTAATGCAAACAATTCAAGACACTCATACCGCTGGTTTGTTTGTCTGCTTTTGATTGCTTTATTATGATTCCATACTTTAGTTCCATGATTTTTGGCTGGTGCTGAAGTGATGTAGTCAAAGTTCTGAGGCATTAGCTTCCTTCCTTCTGGACAGGAAATCATTGGTAAGACAGACCCTCCACTAGGGTGGCCCCATTTTACCATTGCTAGACAGTACTATTCCTCTGATGAGCAGTGGCTGTAGAGTGCTTGCACTGCCCTTCACTGTCATAATGTGATCTTTAATCATTTAAACCAAGAGTGCCCCAACAAATCCATTCCTACTGTGGGTATGTGTATGGCAACAAGGTAACAAATCCAAGTTCATTAATTAAAACCACAACTTTTATTTCTCCCCTGAGGGAATAGAGTTTGATAACAATCAAAGGAGCAATGTCCTTGATTTGAACAACTGCCTATAACTTGACACAAGTGAGATTAAAAGAAAAATCTCTGTAACTCTCTGTAAAAAAGAATCACATGTGAGAGGCCATCCCAGCCATTCAGTGTACACTATAGAAGTGTATCATAAATATCTGCTCAGTATAAATTTGTGTGCAAAAGGCTACTTTGTAGAGTCTTTGGTATTAAGGAACATGCAAATTAGAAATAAATAGTTCTGTATGGGACCCCTTTATAACATTTAACAAGTCAATAATGCTACATTCAAAACTGCTCGTTCAATTTGGACGCATGACTTGGCATCTCAAAAGGACTAGTTTATCATGTTCAAAGCCCACATCTGATCATCTCCCTCAATGCTCAGCAAGTTAACAAACATGGTGGATGCCATAGTCTAATTTTTCTGTAATTCTCTCTTGTTGTGGAATTACAGAATGAAAACCCAAGTTAGCTGTTACAAGCCAAGAAAGGTTGCACATGCAAGTAATTTTAATGTATATGTGTTTTTACAGATTTAAAATGCAAGAAGATAAAATGGCATTCTGTTCAGCCTGTTGAAACATTAACACAGTTGAATGGCAATTTTGACAGGTTTAATCATACATTATTTTTTCGTGTGACATCCACTTTCTTCTTTGCTTACAAATAAACCTTTCTCATTAAATTTAATATGCCCTCTCAAGGTCAAATTTGACAACTTATCCAGAAAAGCTAAACATAATCCCTGATGTTTTGTCGACTAATTCGCTCATCTGTCTATGCACGATAAGAAGTTCTGAACACGGCATGTGAGTGTGAAAGTATTTTTTTTTTTTTTTTTTTTTAATAAACATGAATATAAAGCATCTGTATAGCATAAAGCTCTCTAAAACAGTATGACAGAATGTTTATAACAAAATCAGTAAAAACATCACAATTATCAAACTGTTTCTTTCACAAATATTTATCTATTTTGGATAGCACACTCAAATATAGTTTAACATATCTTAACAAAATATAAGCTTAAAAGTTTAAGAAAATCATTTGTTTGTAACAAACTTTCCTGTTTTTTATCTAACAAAGCCAAAACATCTTTCCAAAAGGACAGGCCAAAATTGTTTGAAAAATTAAAACACATTATTTAAGAGTATATCAATCCTCAGAAAAAAATATATATAGCAACAATCCAATGTCAAAAGGAAAACCATACCTCATGCTTTGACAACAGCCTTGCCAATGTTATCCCCAGAGAAAAGACCAATGAACGCTTCAGGCATTTTTTCAAATCCCTCATACACCGTCTCTCTATACTTAACTTTGCCCTGGAAAGAAAAAGAAAAAAAAGAATATATTGCAGATTATGTGTGTCTCTTTCCAAATATCTGCTGACTTTCTTTTTACAGTCTACACTACCTTCTCAAGAGAACTGTTTGCATAGGCGCAAATCCAATGAGATTGTAAGTAAAAGCAGATCAATGAAAAGCCAACATTTTTTTCACCTGCAAATAAAAAAATAAAAAAATTGAGCATATAAAAAACTTACCTCCAGAACCCACTCCTTCATCTGTTCCAACCCTTGAGTCCAGTCTGACCAACGGTTGACATTGAGACCTTCAATGTGAAGTTTCTTAGCTTTCACGACAGGGTCACAGTATGGGTCTAGAATTTGAAATAATATGCAAGTCCAAAATAAAATCATCTTCAAAACTGATTATGTCATGAACCACCATATCAATATCAATAAATTTGGTCACCTTTATTCTCTTTTATTCATGTCATTGCATAAGCTAAAATAGAGGACACGCACCTGAATGATCATCATTAGTGTAGTTTGAAATTGACCCACACACTGCCACTCTCCCATAATCAGCCATGTGAGGTAGTACATCTGCAGTAAATTTTCCACCAACCTGGAGAAAGAAGGTATCTTCTCTCAGCTCTTTTTTCTTACAACTTTAAGCACAACTGCCGCCAAGTACAATCTATTAATTACCCATATTTTTGTATTCATTTTCTTTTTGTCTAAAGCTTTTCATCTCTTCAAGAAACTAATAAATGGAGCTTTCCATCTCTTCAGTAAAGCAATACTTATAAACACATGTTTACTTGTAAGCTAATATGTATAAAATTTTTAAATCAATTTGGACCATTAACACATATGAACTTTTTATGCATACACTGACTGCTGCCATTTAAAAATATAAGATATAAAGCCCATAATACATTTTATCTATATCTTAATACTCATATACACCTTAGCTATGAACCAAAAACACTCCTAACTAGGCCTCATAAGTCCCAAAACTGGCCCTGTTTATGAGAGTCATGTCATGCCATGACAAGTACTATAGTCTTCAGAAGGTGGCATGCTCAGCACTAACCTGTATGTCTTTAAATTGTATGAAAAGAACTACATATCTATCACTGTTATATATATTTACAGGTTTCTTTCTTTTAAATAAAACTAGATACCCTGTTTATACACAATTTTCATTGACATTTCCTATTGAGGCACACTACTTTATACGAAAAATACATAAACAGTGACCAAAACAAATAAATACTAATATCTATATAATACATCCCTTTATAAAAATAAAAATAAATCATCTATTTAACTCAAACAAGTACTCACCTTTCTCCAAAACTTACATTGTCAAAATAGCAGTTTATCTTTTCAGGTGCTGCTTCAGAGAGGCAGTCAGTGACACTGGTTGTTTTATAGTTGTAAGCATGATCAGCTCCAAGTTCTTTTAGCCAGGCCACCTTCTCATCTGATCCCGCAAAGGCAATAACTTTGCATCCTGTGACAATAGGATGGGAGGGGGGTAAGGATATTAGAAGATGTAAAAATCCTGATTATATCATTATATATGATCATAAGAATCCTTAACAGATACAAAGTCATTAAAAAAAAATCTTGGCAAACCTTTCGTAAATTACTTAATTCCTATGTCAGGCATTCTTGTAAATGGCCTACTAGCATATGGGGATTCCATTAAAAATATCTCCTAGATGCATTAACTATTAGTGTAAACAATGAAAAGGACACTGTAGTATAATATCCTTTATACACAAAAAGTACCATTGCTGATGTCAAAATTTCCAAGGATATAAAACAGTTAGTATCATACAATAGTACTATCTATAAATCATTAAAATTACAAAAAAGACAAAAATGAATGGATTTCTAAAGCTCTGAAAAATACCTACCATCTTGCTAATGCTTAGAACAACTGGTAACCTTCTTATACTTTTCAATGAGTCAACAACAATGAAGTCTTACCTAACTTCTGTCAAATGACTCAAAATCACATCCATAAGATTATTCACAAAAAGATACATAACCTCTTCTATACAGCTTTATATATCACTAATAATGAACCGAAAGAGAATTATCAATGATAATAATGATCTTTCTAACCTTTCAATTTTGCAATCTGCACCACTGTACTGCCAACAGCTCCAGCCGCAGCATTTACGAGCACTGTCTCCCCTGCCTTTGGTTTGCATACCTCAAGCAATCCAAAATAAGCTGTATTTCTGTGAACATTTGGAGATATAATTAATTTATCAACATAAATTCCTTGATAGAAGAGAAATTCACTTTTATGTTATTAGTATGTTAAATTAACTACAATGATAAACTGTATATGTTCATCTACGTAAACTTGACAAATGCAAAACAAATGACTAGCACTGTAGCATCAACATACTGGCACTTTATACATGTAAAATTATAACAGAAAACACTACTTAGAAAAACAGTAAGCAGAATGTTAGAACAAGCAAAACATTTTGATTATAATAAATTTGCATGTTCATTACAATCACCTGCGGGCTCCAATGAGGAAAATTAGCAAAAATGCATAGAAGAGTCCATCAGCAAGTTACCATGTTAATGTGACAAGAATTTCCAGTCTGAATCTCTTTGTATTACACTTACCCTGGCATGCCTATGACTCCTAGACCAAGGCTCCTAGGAAGAGGCTCCAAAGGAATCAATATCTCTGACCGTTTGAACCAATTGTCAATTTGGAAACTCTTAGCAGGTAGTCTAGCATGTGTGCACCAACCAGCTTGAGCAACCACATAGCTGCCAACAGGTAAATCTGGATTCTTGCTCTCAATAACCCTGCAAGAGGAAATACATGAAGACTTTAATATTCACCTGAAATCAACCCCTATTTGATATAATTGGTCTCTGTTCTACTAAAATGAGAATAGATATGCACTGAGGTAACATTCACCTGATACTTGTGGTAAGAAAGCAGGGTTAATATGCAAATGAAAGGGTCTTTAATCAACCCAATGTTGCTGGGATGGCAAGAATACCTGCCATGTGTGTTTTTGTTTACTGAGTGTCTTTACATTTTGATGAATCCACAAGTGCTTAATCACCAAGGAGTCAATTACTAGTCCTACCTATCGCACCTGTTTACCCTTTTCTTTAGTTTTCAGATTTTCTTCCATTACTATTACTATTACTAATAAAATTATAACAATCATAACCAATAATAATAACAGCATCATTATCAACAATGTTAGGAACAAAAATCAAGTTTCACGAAAACTCAAAGAAAGGGGAAATTAAGTAAGGTCACAGAGGCCTAGCTATTGGTTCCTTGCTAAGTGAGCAACTGCGGAGCTATCTATACACAAACAAATCTCAAAAGAAAACTGCAGCAGACAGTGTGATTACCCAGCAGCAATAGATTAAGTGAAGAATATATGATTTTTCCTGATAAAAAAAAGATTATTATTTGCACCTCATAAAAAGGTAGAATATCAGCAAGGAAAATTAATTAAATCTTCAAAGAAATAACTCTTACTGTTCATATAAATGTTATGTAATAATTTTAAAGGAACTTACCGTGAAACTTGAGTGCCAATCATAGGAGTTCCAAATGGGACCTTCTTGGCCATAAAACACATGTATGGGTCAACACTCAAGTATTCTGCCTCAACAATTACATCTGAAACATTTAAATTACTTATATGTTTATGTGTGTGTGTGTGTGTGTGTGTGTGTGTGTGTGTGTGTGTGTGTGTGTGTGTGTGTGTGTGTGTGTGTGTGTGTGTGTGTGTGTGTGTGTGTGTGTGTGTGTGTGTGTGTGTGTGTGTGTGTGTGTGTGTGTGTGTGTGTGTGTGTGTGTGTGTGTGTGTGTGTGTGTGTGTGTGTGTGTGTGTGTGTGTGTGTGTGTGTGTGTGTGTGTGTGCACTAGTGTGGTACAATTAGTTAATGACTCTTATTAGCTAAGTAAGTGAAGCCTTCATGTATCAACAAAATGAATATACTGAAATCACAGTGGTTATGACCTGTATGTCCTTTCATACAAACAGAGAGTTCTATATTCATATTTCTCATATTTCATATTTCATGTAAAAAAATTATTACTACACTATCCCTACAAAAATCTTAGAATTACATGTCTTATGTCACTTAAATTCATGAATTAATGAGCATAACATAATCAAGATAAAAATACAAATATACAGCAATGCAATAATGGTTGCATTAACAACCTCTTCAGTAACAATCTCACCAGAAAAAGAAGAAAACGAAATACAGTACCTCCATTCTTACACTCGGATACTTCTTTTTCAATACAGGAAAAATCCTCCTTTCTGGGTATACCAACTGGCTGTTTGGCTAATGTCCAAATTCTTGCTTTCACCATTATGATGAGTGAAGTGATGCCAAGAGCCTGTATGAAAGAAAAATGTTCATTCTTTGTAATATACCTTTATTTTGTTCACTTTGCCCGAATTTTCATTTATTATTTGTAAAGGGTGTTGTCACAGCACAAAGTTTGTGAACAACCACCCTCTCTTTCCCTTGCAGTAAAGGCTATATATATATATATATATATATATATATATATATATATATATATAATATATATATATATATATATATATATATATATATATATATATATATATATATAATATATATATATATATATATATATATATATATATATATATATATATATATATATATATAATATATATATATATATATATATATATATATATATATATATATATATATATATATATATATATATATATATATATATATATATATATATATATATATTATATATATATATATATATATATATATATATATATATATATATATATATATATATATATATATATATATATATATCCACACTTTAGTTGAAGGTTTTAAAAGTAAATCAAATAGAAGCTGAAAACAATTAGTACAATTTAGTATAATTATGTATATATTTGATGAACCCATTGAAATAGAAGCAAAAATGACATGGTGCTCAAGCTGTAAGTACAAAACTTGTAGACCTCCCTGGAATATTAATCATGAAATAAAAAAACAGTTCAAGCTCAATTCTACCTGAATAAATATGGCAGAAATTTGTTATATAAAACAGAACCAATATCATAATAAAGAAAAGGTTAAATTTTGACATTCACTGTGGTTGTTTTCTAACATTTACCAAAGATAACTGCATTAGGCAAACAAAATTAAATGAAAGCAATATTACAATCAAAATAAAAGTAGTTTTTTTAACGTTACTATCCGCTTGGCGTACCTATTCAAAAAAAAGTACCTAAAACATAAAACCGTGTCATTGCCAAAGAGTTAACATCTTAGAAAAACCCAACACATAATGCTGCGTTCGGAACTCCTCGTCTTGCTCGTCCAGACAAGTTGGACAAGATGTTTTGACCGTTCCGGACCTTTACTTCCTCGTGGTCAAGTTGTCCTTGATCATCTCGGGCTGCAGGGCGAGTAGGATGAGAGGACGCCACAACGTTTGTATGTAAACAATGACAGTTACAGTGAACCATGAGATATTGATAGGTAATTTTATGGCTTTTTATTGATGTTGACAAAGGGTATCAATTGCAGGTAAGTTAAATGTGCACCAAAGGAGTTACAAAGCGTGAAATATAAAGACACCAGTATGATAAAAGAGTGAATGTTTACTTTCGAGCCGGTTGTGTTCTGAGCAGCGAAGGGCGTGTAGGTTGCGAACGCGGCCTCGTTGTCCTGCTGTCCCTGCCCAAGGTCTAACCTTGGTCCTGACTCCTGAAATATCTGAACGAGCATGACGAAGAGTTCCGGATGCAACATTTAATGTGGGAACATGTTTGTTTTTTTTGCTGTTCAGAAGAACAAGTTAGTTTTCGGAAGCTCCTCTCTCGGATGTTAAAATTTTAACAAGTACAGAGTTATTTCCCTAAAAAAAACATTGCTAAAATGAATGACATTCCATAGTGTTACATCACCATCTATTAAAGTACCTATATTTCGTGGAAGATTTGGTGAGGAGGGGGTGTCTCGTCCCGCAGAGTGTGATAGCCCGGGACTCTCGCCTCAGGAAGACGTGTTCGCGACCTCTCGTTTCCCCGCCTGAGACTGTTATTGCCGCCCCGAGTTTGATGTGTCTTTATTTCTTGTGGATTAATAAAAGTAGAAGTGAACAGTGTTTGTATTCATCTGACAGTAACTCAGACAAGGGGACTGGGAGTGCTCGCCTCCACGTGCACACTCGGACCCGTAGCGTCTGCTGAGGTTAGCATGCTATCCTTTAGTCGCACGGGACATTTGTCAGTTTGTGACATGTTGGCTGGTCTGAGGTATCACGTCGAAAGTGCCGGAGCCAGGAAGTGAGAACGGCGTCGCAATTCACGCTCAGGTTAATTTGGCAGGAAACGAATACGAGGAGTGCGTGGGTGAGGCTGGGAACAAAACCCCACCTGATGTGATGGATTTATTTAGGGAGATGATGAGAAAGTTGGACAAGATTGGTGAGGACATGAAGAACCTCCAGAGGAGTAAAGGCTGCTGAAGGACGTACAGTTTGATTCTGGTGAGTGGATGGCACAGCAGCTTGACTTACCTATGGGCGTCAGCTGTAAATGAGAGAAAAATGGTTCGAAACCGAACCGTGACGTCACCGCGACTAGTCAGTCAGCTCTCAATACTCTTTCCTGACTTAACCCCACATCTCTTTCCCACACCTACATCAGGTAATCAGTTCACCCCCTTTGCATCTGAATTTGACGGGAAGGTGGCCTGGGAGGCCTACCTGGCTTAGTTCGAGCTCCTGGCTGGCGCTCAATGTTGGGACGACAATGAGAAAGCTTTGCAACTCGTTTCCAGCCTTCGTGCGCCAGCACTGGAGGTGCTATCTCATTTAACCTCATCACAGTCCAGGGTGCGGGCCAAGGGTCTCTCCCTCACTTGGCTCAAGAGTTAGACAGACACTCGTCTGCCACGCCTCCCCCGCCACTGCCGAGGGCATGGTGACCGTCCTGACGCGGGATTAGTTTGTGGACGCGCTGCAGGATCGGGAACTGCAGTTGTATGTCAAGCAGGAACAGGAGGGTGCGCCTAGAAGGGGCACTGCCGGAGTGACTACCTGAGGGGATGGAGGATGCGTTCCCTAGAAAGGGCGCCCATTTCTGCCTCCCAGCCATGCTGTGTGAGCTGTGGGTGTTGCGGCCACTTTTAAGTTGCCTGCACTGCCTCTAAACATGTATAGGTGGGTAACGATGCAAGGACCGACAGCCAACCCACGCAGTGTAATTTGTCGCCATGCAGCCGCTCCGACGGTCCATTTAAGAAGAACCGTGGATGGGAAGCCGTGTCAGATGGCAGTGGGAATGGGCGCTGAGAAAACTAACATGCACCCTGATGTGTTACCTGCTAAAGATTTTCGTGGGGAACCTAAACAACTGTGAGGTCACAGGGCACTGTACACCGCTCAGACCAGTTGAGGAGCAACTCATCGTAGGTGGCAGTGAGGAGATACTGCCTGTGCATGCCGCCAAGATAGAGGACCCTTGTCTCTATGGAATTGTCTACGCTTGGAGCGTGTATTGATCTGAAATTAACAGAAATTAACAGAAATTAAGGGTATGAGAAAAAGAAGTGCTCTTGTCCCTCGGCGTCGCTCCAGTAGAGGTAGTAATGGCTGAGCGCATGCACACTGCCTCAGACACAGCCTGAAGTGCCCTACGAGTTATCTGGGAAGTTTACAGGTCATGACAGCATGCCAGAATCCATAGAACCGTTGGAGCAGGCAGACAATAGCAAGGAGGTGGCTTTTCAGAAAAAGCTACCTGGAAATGAGGGGGTAGTTATTGATGTCCCCCTCCCTGACCACCGGACTGATCTGGCACGGAGTACCATGCACCTCGACTATCGGCAGCAAGAGGTTAAGGAACACCCTGACAGGGTATGCTGATGTGTTCAGCAGGGGTGACCTCGACTTGGACCGCACAGGGTTTGTTCAACATCACAAAACAGGAGATGCTCTGCCAATTAAATAGCCTTCTGTGAAGGAGCTGGAGGCATAAAGAGGTTGAGCAGTCCAACAGTCCATAGTCGTCTCTGGTCGTGTTTCTGACGAAGAAAGACGGAACTAAGCGGTTATGTGTGAACTATAGGGTGCTTAACATTACAGCAAAGAATTTCTCCCCATTGCCTCATATGGATGACACGCTGGATGCTCTGGCAGGCCCTCACTGGCTCTCCACGCTAGACTTGAAGTCTGGCTACCACCAAGTGGAGATGACATGGGAGGATAAAGCTAACACAGCCTTCTCCTTTGGCTAGGGGCTGTGGCAGTTCACTGTTATGCCCTCTGGCCTGTGCAGTGCCCCTAGTTGCTTCGAACGGATGATGGAGAGGGTCTTGGAGGGTCTGCAGTAGAGGACAGCCCTTGTTTACTTCGACATTATCGTCTTCGAAGGATCATTTGATGAGGATTTGGAGAGACTGGAGGAGGTGCTTCACCGGCTGAGGGCTGCCAACTTGAAATTCAGCCCTAAAAAGTGCCTGTTCTTACAGTCCGACCTACTATTCATGGGGAACATGGTTGGTAGAGACGGGGTAAAGACACTCCCAGAAGATGGCTGCAGTACAGGACTGGCCTGTTCCTATTTGTGTAACTGATGTGAAGAGTTCCGTGGTCCTCTGCGCCTACTATCGATGTTTCGTCAAGCAGTTTGCATAAATTGCTTCCCCTCTCCATCTCCCCGAAAAAGGAGCACTGTTTGAATGGAGTGAAGCCTGTCAGGAGGCTTTTAATAGCCTGAAGCGAGCCTTGGTTGAGGCTCCTGTACTGCCTTACCCCGACCCAGCCAGTCCCTACTTGGATACTGACGCTAGTGCCGAAGGTTCTGGTGCTGTTTTGTCGCAGGTGAAGGATGGGAAATTATGTGTGTGTATTAAAGTGCCAATTTCACAGATCCCGAGAACTGTTGGCAGTGGTGAAAAGCACCAAACATTTCCATCCTTACTTGTATGGCACCAAATTTGTTATCCACATGGACCACGACACTCTTGTGAACCAGTGTCAACATTGCTTGAGGGAAGAGTTGGTTGCATGCCGGCAACTCTAGGTCTGGGGAGGCTCTGTAGATGCTGAGGAGAGATGGCATCAGGTACAGAGGGAGGATGAGGACCTAACTCCCCTGATCAAGTGGATGGAGGCATCCACGGATCATCCTAGCTGGCCACAGGTAGCAGCAGAAAGCCCTGTAACCAAGCACTTGTGGTAACAGTGGGCCATGTTGCGACTGGAGGATGGAATATTACAGCGACACTGGGACGATGCTCGTGGACGGTCAAGTTACTGGGTGGTGCTGATGCCACATTCCCTGAGGAGAGACCTGTTACATGAGTTGCATGGTGGGATCACCAGGAGCTACCTGGGTGTAAAAAGAACTCTGACCAGGTTAAGGCAGCACTTCTATTGGGTGGGAATGAGACAAGACGTTCAGGAGTGGTGTCACACCTGTGAAGTGTGCCAAAAATGGGCCAGTGAGGGAAAAACTGTGTGCCCCTCCAGCTGTACCAGGTCGGCTGTGGACATCGTCTGACTGTTCCCTGTCACCACACAGGGAAATGGATTTATTTGTGTGGTGATGGACTATTTCACAAAGTGGCCTGAAGCATATGCACTCCCTGATCACGAGGCAGAGGCAGTGGCAGAGGCGTTCGTGAATAACTTCATTACACGCTTCGGAGTTCCTCGGGAGCTACATTTAGACCAGGGATGGGAGTTTGAGTCTGTAGTGTTCCAAGAGTGTTGTCAGCTGCTGGGGATCAAGAAGACCCACACCACCGCCTTGAGGCCTCAGTCTGACGGTTTGGTGGAGCGATTCCACAGGATGTTGATTCACCAAGTGGCCAAGTACTGCAGCAGCGACCAGCGGGACTGGGACGTGAAGTTACTATCACTGTTGATGGCCTATCTCTCAGCCCAGCATGAGGCGACCACCCACACTCCCGCCAAGCTGATGTTCGATAGGGAATTGCGACTTCCGATAGATCTGGCGACAGGACAGACTCCCCAAGAAATTACTGACCCTGTAACATCCAATTATGCCCTGATGTTGCAAGAAAGGCTGATCACTGCTTACTGATTAGCACGTAACAGCAGAAGGACGGCTGGCATCACCATGAAGACAGGCTATGACTGGCATTCAAGAGAAGTCAAGGATAACGTTGGTCCCTGGGAAAGGCCCTACGAGATATTGCAGGCCATGTCTGATGTGACCTACAAAATTCATTGTGGGTGTCAGAAACGATCACATTTGGAGATACTATGGTTATTCTCATGGGAAAGAGGAAGCGAGGAGGGAGAATAAGAGGAAAGAAACGAGGAAGAGGAGCAGTGGAGCCAGTATAGTGGTGGTGATGGAGATGGTGGTCGTGGTGGCGGTGGCTGTGGTGAAATGGCTGAGAAAGCTGGCGAGTCACTGGTGGATGTGGGGAACGCTACCACCAACGAAACAGAACTGCTTGCCCACAGTGGGGGTGCTCGCTCAAAACGACGAAGGCAGCTACCCGAGTGGATGAAAGATTATGTGATTAATTAAAATGAAATGATGTGTTTAAGATCGTGAAGTGGACCAGTTGAAAAGGAAATAATGTATGC